TAATTCATTTTCAAAATGTCTAGTAGTGTTATAAATTTCAAACTTCTACATTAAATAGGTCACAAGATATACATACACTAAGCTCAAAAACACAAAAATATTGTAAAAAACACTCAAATATCAAAAAAGTACGAATTTCAATTTTGATTTTAAAAACTTTTGTGATATATCGTTAGAAAGAGTATGAAGAGCACATTAAGAATCCGAAAAAATTAACCCTCTAGGATAATTAGGTCACGTGCTAGAGCAGTCCAAATTTGCGAATTTGGCTGTTTTTAGACATCCATAAAAACGGAAGTAGATGTCGGAGGTCGAATATGAAAGTATCAGCTGATAGCCAAGGTCAATGACCTTTGACCCAATGAAGGTCAAGGTCATCAAAGGTCTAGGTCATGATATATGAGCCTTCAAACTTCGAAAAAATTCAATCGGAAATTGCAAAAAAGCAAAAGCGAAATTCAAAAATCGGCTCCCACAGTTTTTTTTTAATTTTTATTTTCTTTCATTTGACACCAAAATCATCAAAATCGGATAAGCCGTTATCTCTGAATAGATTCTGACGCATTTCAGAAAAATCAAAATGGCGACCAAAGTATTACCTTCGGACCGGATTTTATATTCTTCGTTTTTTTGTCATAACTTTGGCTATCGATTCATATAAGTTTCGTCGGGCTAAATTAATTACACCGAAGTAGTTCAACCGGAAGTGAGAATCGATTTCCCGTTTAAACCGGAAGTAAAGTAAAAAATTTGACTATACAATTTTGTTCACGTTCATGAATTGTCTTTGCTCAAATTTTTTTAGATTAATCAGACAAAAAGCTAAAAAGTTTTTTTTTTTGTTAAAAAATTGCAAAATTCGGCCGAAAAAAGTGTGCGACAAATTTTCGAATTTCGAAGTTGTTTAAGTGCTATTATATCAGAAATTACACGTAGATTCCAGAAATAAAAACCTGAAGAAAATCCACCGGAAAATGCGACTTTTAGGTCCGATTTTCTACTTTTTGCACATATTGGACTGTGGCATTTCCGGTTTTGCAAAAATGTTCCAATTTATATTTATGCAACACGTTGCCACTACAGAAGGTCTAGGAAAGTTGAATGGTTGCTGCAACTATTGCAGTCTAAGCACAGGAAGGTGTGTAAATTTCGAAAAAAAAAAAAAAAAAAAAGAATAGACATTTCGTCCCACAAAAAGGGCTACCATGAAGTAATTTAAAAAAGGAGAACATA